TCTCACTACACACAACTGCCCAGAGTACTGGTGCGGTAGTATACACGATCCACGCACAGACCACGGCCTCAACTACGAGGATGTATCGTTTACATCTACAGATCATTACACCTTGCGTGGATGGTATGTACCACCACCAGCGGAAAAGGCGCGGAAGATGGGTATTGTGCTTCTGCACGGCGGTGGCAGAGATAGACGGGCGTGGCTGCGGCATCTGCCAATGCTGCATAAGGCAGGATATGGATGTTTGTTGTTTGATTTCAGAGAACATGGATTAAGTGATGGGAATATGCGTGGATTCACGTACGGTATGAAAGAGCGCTTTGATGTGGTGGCGGCCTGTGAGTTCATGCGGTCTACATACAAGTATGAGCGTATCTGTGCAATGGGAACTAGTGTGGGTGGTTCCTCTGCTATTATGGCTGCGGCTATTGACAAGACTATAGATGTGGTGATTGCCGAGAATGCAGTGCTTACGTGTGCGACATTGCAAGATCAGAAACTTGTAGATTTCGTCGGTGGTTATTTCTCACGACGTTCGTATAGTCGATTCTTTCTTAACCTTTTTCGTCGTACCTCTTCTTTTTGGTTGAACTTACGCATAGGCAACAAACCGTCTAAACACTGTCAGGCACTGCATTGCATAGCCAAAGTTGCACCTAGACCTGTTTTGCTTATGCACGGTATGGCTGATGATTTGGTGCCCTGTCGTCATTCATTACAGCTTTACGAGGCAGCAGGAGAACCAAAGGAATTGTATATATCAGAGAATGGCTTTCACTGTGGTTTGTACGATACAAATCCAGAGGAATTTAAACGGCGTGTTCTTGACTTCCTCCATAAATATGGAGGAGAAGAGTGATGTATTGAAGAAAAAAAATAATGAGGAGTGAATGAAATAGCAGCAATAAATGCAAAAAAAAAAAAAAAAAAACAGAAATAATTATCTGCAGTTTTACAAAGACTGCGGATATATATATAAAAAAAAAAACTGTCTCGTTGTTATTTGCGTTCAGGAGTTTTTTTCTTTCTTTCCGAGACATATTGGGTATTGGAGTTTTTTTTTTTTTTACTACTTTTACTTTTAATATTTATGTTATTATACAGACATTTTTCTTTATATGGAACCTTTTACTGCCGTTATTCCTTTCTAAGCGTCAGGAAGAGAAAAAAAAGAAGAACAACAACAACAATAACAACAACAACAATGGGTCGACATCGTGAAATTTGCTGTTTCTTTTTTTTTTTCCTTGTATATTCCTTCTGCTTAATATCTGGTTTTGGTCTTTTTTTTTTACTTTTTCTCATTCCCCCTTTCACCCATCCCATGTACAAACAGAAGTAACTCTTGGGAATTTTTAATCAATACATCTTTAAATATCTTTAATGGCACACTTGTTACGGTCTGTGTTATTTCTCTCACTATTATTGCTTATTGGAACGACAACTGTTACTGTGTGGGGCCTTCCACGCAAGGAGGAAATTTCACATCTGTACTGTCAACCGCTCTCGGAAGCGACGCCGGGAACACCGATGATCGCCCGCTTCACATCCACTAATCTTTTAAGTGAACTTCATGGCAAACGTGTTCGGTTTGTAAAGACACCGTGGCCATCTATTCTTGATCGTGTGTATTATGTGAACACGGCGTGGGATGGGCGTTGGTATCTTCTTCACGAGGATCCCGAACTGCAGCAGCCCGGCCGGCCAGCGGAGGGGGAACTTGAGCTTCACAGCCGTAATGGACTCGTTGAGGGGAATGGAGTGGCAATTGTAGAGATACTGGATGCGGGGGAATAGTCATCTTGGTAGTATTACCAGCAACTCATATTAAAAGAAGGTTAGTCCTTCGTATATGGGGGGAGAGGAAGGTGAGTGTGTTCTTTCATGGAGAAGGTAATAGGAAGGATAAACGGACTCTGTATCTTGACTGTTACCTTTTATTATTGGAGCTCAACAGATTTGGAATAACCTATCCATTGCTTAGAGGTCAGTTTAATCTGAGTCAGAGCCGCCTGTGTTCTTTTTTTTTTTTTTTTCTTTGTTTTTTAAATCCTCATTACCTTTCAAATAACAAAGAACACTGCCATGAACACCAGGTATGCTCTCCTCACTCTCAGTTTTTATTTCTCTCTCGTGAACGGTATGCACATGGAGGGTGATGTTGTTGTTACGTGCTTCTAATGTTGTTTCAGTATTTTGTTTTTTTATTTATTCTTCACTGTGCTTTTATGCTTCTTTTGTATTCCCATTATAGCCAATCTGTAGATTGGGAAAGGCTGTAGCGCTATGGTTAGAACACTTTACTATTTCAACAGAGAGAGTACATTGTCAGTGTGTAATAGATACAATACGTGTGTTGTTATCAATCTTATGTTTGTACGCGTAATTGTTATCACCATAACATTTGCACGATAAGAGAGAAGTTGATCTCTTAATTAGGGATAAAAATATATAAATAAAAAAAATGAAAAAAATGGTGTTCTGTACAATTTATTGCTTCTTTATCCGATTAGAAAAACTGCATTTGGGGTGTGTTTCATCCCTTACCTATACGAATATGTTTGCAATCGTTCATATCTAAACATATTAAAGCAACAAAAAAATTTGAATACACTTTTACATGTTTCTTTCCTTCTTTTCTTTTATTTCTTTCTGTTTGAAACAATCATAACCTTTTTTTTTTATTCTGAAAGGGCTTTATTTGTGAAGCTAAAGTGCCTAATCTGCACGCATCTCCTTTGGAGCGATATATACAGCATCAGCTGGATTCTTCGCGTTATAAGGGCTAGAACTCTTTGTATCTAGCGCTTTCGCGACTTACATATATATATATATATATATATATATACTAATTATATATATTACTGTTAGGAAGCAGCAAATAGAAGACAAAAAAAAAAAAAAACGAAGAGAACGCATTGTATCCTTTGCCATTATATTAGAAAAAGAACAAAAAAAACTATAGCAACAATAACGTTACTCTTCTAAAGAAACAAAACAACCCACAAGAGGGGTGAAAGGAAAAAAAAGAAACAAAAGAAAAAATAAAAAGAAATTAAAACAAAGATGGACGTGAACTGCACCGTGATTGATTGTCCAGACCGCAAGGACTCGACACGTACACTCTTCCATCTCCTCATACTTGATGCCCCATCGCCCAGCAATCTTCCCATGTACGTGAAGGCACTGCAGCGTCGACAGGTGCGTCATCTTGTGCGTGTGTGCGGCCCAACCTACGACGCGGCGCTTGTGGAGAAGAGTGGGATTGATGTTCACAGTTGGCCCTTCGATGATGGTGCCCCGCCGCCAAAGACAGTACTGGAGAGTTGGTTCCACCTGCTGGATGCGGCAAAGGTGCAGCTCGACAGCGGCGTGGCGACGGAGCCCACTTCTATTGCTATTCACTGCGTGGCGGGACTCGGCCGGGCGCCTATTCTTGTGGCAGTGGCACTGGTGGAGTACGGCGGGATATCCGCACTGGATGCGATTGCACTCATTCGAGAGAAGCGACGTGGGGCGATCAATCAGACACAGATGCATTGGTTGATGAAGTATAAGCCACGTGATGCGGGAGGCAATGGATGTAGTGTTATGTAAAGATCTCTGGAAGATAGAGAGAACACATGTTTTGAGGATGTCTGGTGATTATGTGCCTATTCTTCATCAAACTAGTTTCCCCATGTTTCTTTTTTTTTTTCATATATATATATATATANTGAGTATGAGGTTTTTTTTTTTTTTTTATATATATATATATATATATATATATATATATATATATATATGGTGTGAACTCTGGCGGAGTGCAATTATTTTGTGGGGTTCAAGGGGCAAGCGAGATGATATGGTTTCGCAGAATGAATCTAAAGAGACGTGACAAAACTACCAATAGAAAGGGTATCGGTGAATGTAGCTATGGGGAGTTGAGATTTGTAGTAGGTTGTAAAGGGAAAAGGAGGAAGAAAATGATTCGTTCACGCACCCACTTTTATCCCTTATTAAAAAGGGAATTAGAGAGAGGGAAAAAAGGAAAAGAGAAAAAAGAATTCGGCGTGTATAAAAAAAAAAAAAGAAAAGAGAAAAGAAAAGAAAACATTAGCTAGACATGCGAGAGACGGGGTGTTTTTTTTTTTTTTTGTCGTATAAATTATATGTGAGTTCGTACAAGGTGATGAAAAGAAATCGATTGAAAAAATCATCCTCTATGATACCAATATTATTTAAATTGCATCTACTAACTTGACGTGATATTTATAGTTTGTTTTTTCTTCTTATTCAAAAAATTACTCTTTCTTCTGCTTTCTTTTTCTCTTGCTCCTGTTTTCAAATAGTAACTAGACATTCCATTATAAGAAGTGTATGCACAATATTAATTTATTTGCTCTTCTTCCTTTTCTTCACATCATAAAGATCAACTAAGAGGAAGTGTGGTTTGGACTGACCTTCACTTTGCTTTTCTATTATTCTCTCTTATTTAACTAACACTCTTTTGTCTATGTTACCTAGATTGAAGGGTGTGTATAGGCGTAGCAGAAGTTGATCGTTCTCCCGTCCCCTTTTGGATAGGAACGAGAGAAAAAAAAAAAAAACCTACCTGATTTTCTTCTTTACTGGGTTACGTTGAATGAATCAGGAACATTATAAACTACAATGAATAACCCCTCATGTTGTTTGAGGAGTTTGGATATATTTACACCTTTACGTCATTTTCCCGTATCCATAAGTGACGTATTCATTTTTATGCAGAATGAAAAACAAACGTGAATAGTTAGAATAAAGATATCTAACTGTAAACTATAAAAACCAAGTTAGCTTTTCTCATTTACTTAACTTCCATAATTAAATATATATATATA